AATGCTCTTGCTATGGAAAGAACTCGCTCTCTCCAGCCTCTGAAAAGTTGATATTCATCGGACAAAAATGAATATGGAAGACGAATCACGATATTACTGTAATAAAATCAGTGCAGATATAAGAAACATACATATTGGTTAGAATCTGACATTATATACAGTGATATAATGACAGTTTTATAATAGTAATGAGGTTTATTATATGGGGATTTTCAATTTTGATGTTACTCTTTATGTAAGTGCGTCCGTGCGCTAACATACTTCAGGTCACCATGCTGGATAACTTGATGTTATGAATCTTAAAGTATTGGCTATTGATTGGGAGATCAACTTTAACTTTGTTAAATCACATCGTTCTATCGTTTTCTCTGGTCTCTGGTCCAGAAGCTGTTTAAGGTGTAGAAATGTTGACGTTGGTAAGGTGTAGAAATGTTGACGTTGTGGCGGCCGGGAGAGAAGTGAGCCTTGTGTGGAGCTACTCGATCTTCGAATGTGGGAGGGGCTTAGGTGCTTAGTTACAGCGGTCCCGTCCAAGCAAAATGTGTCGCAGCGTCGGGGAGCTTCAACAACTTTTGTATGTGTGTAAAATCTTACTTAGCGTCGGCGAGATTTAATATCTTACTGATACGTTTTTCATTTATTTATATAAAAAAAGATCAATTAAAGTCATAAACTCAAAAGAAATACGATTGGAATCGTTAATAAATAATAAATATCAAATCAGTACTTCAAGACAGACACTCACATCGACATCTGAAACATCCACTTCGAACATTATTTGTGGACTACAGAGCTCATACAACGGTCAATGCAAGCCTTTCATGTGTCGACGGAGAGTCTTGTCTCGCTATACAACGCGCCTTCGTCTCACTGAACATGTACATGCCTCGCTCTTACAACGTTAATGCAAGCCTTTCATGTGTCGACGGAGTATCTTGTCTCGCCTAGTACAACGCCGCCTCGTTTCACTGAACATGCACATGCTTCGCTCTTACAAAGTCTATGCAAGCCTTCCATGGTCGACGGAGTTTCTTGTCTCGCTAGCAACTGACTTGTCTCACTGAACATGCACATGCCTCGCTCTTACAACCACCCCCCCCCTCAATGCAAGCCTTCCCTGTGTTCGAACGGAGTGTCTTGTCTCCCTTTGGATTACAGAGCGGCTATGTGACTCATCGCTTAAGTGCGTAGAAGGGAGATGAAATTTATGTAATCTTTCCATACACGTATAACCTGAATGAGGTGTTGATACGCCCTTAATTAACCATTCTCGTTAACCATACTACCCTATAAACGGCATTAAATATAACCCAACCGTTAAATTGCACATACACAGACTTATTCTCGGAACTGCTCTATCAGAAAGATGCGTTAGTTCAATTCTTTTTATAATTTATCTTTAGAAATTTGTTCTCGTACACATATCAGGACATTATCTCCTTAACCTTCCTTCACTGTATGATAATAAATGTAATTTAAAATAATAGCATTTTTGTAAAAAACAACAAAAAAAATGTTCTGTTATGCCAGCTGTAAAAATATAATGATAATAAAATGTTGATAATCATACAATAAATATATAGTCGTCGAACATATACAGCTTTACTATTATTAATATGGCTAAGTGCATAATTAACTATTCCAATGCAAATATTGGTGTGTATATAGTATTAGGCATTAACATTTGTGAGGACTAGATTTAGAAAGGAGTGGTTTATCGCATGACCGCAGGCTTTGAATAGGATGAGAAAAAGTCTGTCATCACTTGTGGGTCACTTTCAATTGTTTAGTACTAACATTGTTGTTAATATTTGGGTTTTAGAGAAAATATTTAGTTACAATGTATACATGTTAATCGATAATATATATATATATATTATATATATATATAATATATATATATATATATATACATGTGAGTAGGTAGAAATAACAAGGACAAACGTCGCTTTCATGGAATATTGTTTGAACAAGAAAATTATTAAACTGAGACTCTGGTGATAAAAAATACGATATAGTGGTTTCGTCGCTTATCTGTCTATGGCACTTTTGGAAAAGGGGAAAGGTATAGTTTATCTCTGGAGTATAGCACATACGTTCGAAAAGATGTCTTAACATACCCGTAAACCTTTGTTTAAACTGCGTTGCGCTATACTTTTTATAAAAGTGATGAAAACAGAGGATAAAATCGTTATTAGAACCATCTTATAGTCGTCACAAGTTGTTTTCTTTATCGGTATAAAAAAAAGTGTTTCAAAAGGGAAAGGATGGAGACATGTTACAGATTCCTTACTAGACTGATATCGAGATAACATTTGGGGATGTTAATGGTTAACAATGGTGATGGTAAATGGTTGATGATGATGGTTGTGGCTGCGGCGGGTGACGGTTGATAGTAATGGTTTCAAGCGTTTTTTCACTTGAAAAAAAAAATCTTAGTAAGCTTTCTAATCCTATCAGCCAATCTACTCTCACTTCATTATCTAGAAATATAATCTTTACCGAACTGTTAACTGCCTCAGTTTGTATCTTTAAAAAACTTTATTACCTCGACCATGTTAGAAAAGCTCGCTACGAGTGTAGTGGATTATGATAGCGTTTAAGAGTGCAGTCCGCCTCGCAGGGAATGACTCTGCATGAAGCATTCCGATCTAGCACACCCTGGTGGCACGTATTCAACAAAGATATTGGGCTCAGACTTTGAGTGGAGAGTAATTTTTTTGGGGGAGGGGGGAGGGAGGGAAAACTCATGTTTAATTAGGGGCCTAAGTCATAGGGAGAGAGAAAAAAAACTAGGGGCAATAAGTTATAGGAGAAACCTTGTTTAATCAGGGGCACCCCAATTCTACAGGGTGAGAGAGAAATCTTTAATTAGGGGCACTAAGTTTTTGTGATGCTACTGAGTTTCACCAAGTTTTGGTAAGGGTCCTGCGCATAATAGATGGTCTAGTTTTTGTCATGTTATTAACTGTGATGATATGACGGTGAACGTTTAACTAAAGAATTAATGCGACTTGATATATAAAGTATGAATGATAATTTGTACACCGTGAGAAATATTAATTTAGCGAGTGTTAGGGAGATCTTTTTTTTTAGCGTGTGGAATGTTTCTTGATTTTCAAAAGCTACAAACTGTGAAATTTTCGATGAATAAGTTTTTTTTGTCAATACACCTCACTTTGAAGGAGAGCGAGCTCGAACGAGAACGAGCGAGCGAGCGAGAAATGGTACCTAGAGTTGGGAGAAGAACGAAAGTTTGTGTGCATGAAATGTTGCCTGAGATCGGGGCCGGAGTAGTAAGTAAAATTGAAAAGTTATTAAGACTTCTCTCCGGCCTTTCCTCAATCCTTGTCGTTGTTGTTATTGCTGGTTGCATACTTACTAACTTGCTATTTTCTTTTGTACTATTATCAGTGACCAACAATGGAAGACCAATCAAGAAAGCCATAATTGGTAAGTTAATTATCAAATGTGTATGTGTGTTCCGGACAACTTTAACTGCGTGTGATATGTGTTTAAAAAGTATAAATGTATAGTGTCTAATTACTTTTTAAGAATATTATTCAGATAGTTTTCATATTATCATCGTACTCTGTGCACAAGTATATACTGAGGTTTGTCTTTTTAATGCAGATTACGAGTGAAAAGACGAAGCAACGAATATGTGGGCTCAGACTGTGAGATGGAAGAGTAATTTTGCTTACGAGGGGAGGGAGAAAGTTATAGGGAAAGAAGAAAACAATTTTTTTATTTATTTATTTAGCGTGTGGAATGTTACTTGATTTTAAAGGCTACACACTGAAATGTTACATGAAAAAGAAAAAAATCTTCAATACAACCTAGATTGAAAGAGAGCGAACGGTGCGAGCGAGCGAGCGAGAAATGTTAACTAAAGTTGGGGAACAGACGAAAGTTTGTGTGCATGAAATGTTGCCTGAGATCGTGGGAGTAAGTAAAATTTATTAACTGTTATCAAGACTTCTCTCCTGCCCTTTTCCTCAATCCCTTGTTCGTATTTTGTTGTCCTATTCACAACTGGTGAGTAAAGAAGTAAAGTATCATATGTGTGCGGGTGATCCGGACAGATTTTAACTGCGTGTGGTGAAATGTATGTATAAAATGTATGAATGTATAAAATGTCTAATTACTTTTAAGAATATTATTCAGATATTTTCCATATTATTTACGTACCCTGTGTATAAGTGTATACTGAGCTTCATGTCTTTCTAATGTTGTTACTATGTATATTTAATATATATTTTCATCTTCATCAGATGAAGTCGAAACATATACTTTTAATCATTTTAGGGCCTCCGGAACGCAAATACAATTGTAAAAGTTTAGGAAAGGATTTTACAGTTACTAAGGCGAGCTGAAGCATGACGCATTTTTTAATCGCGCCACGTCAACCACAGGGTGACCAACGTCACTAATGCACCTGTGTAGAGCATAATGTCAGTTCGGGATTATATTTGTAATTCATTCTTATTAGAC